CACAAAAGAAAGACAAGTTTTCCACCGTGAAATGGAAAGAGCTCACACTGGTTTGCACCTGGCAGGAAAATACACACATATTATCACAATCTGGAGGTACTGTGTTTTGCCAGATGCCATTTTGTGCTCATTACGAAAAAGCTCCAGGGTATTCCAAGGCTTGCAGAAAGATCATGTTTTGGTTTCATGTCCAGAAGAGGGTTTTTTTTTTGTTGCTGTTTTTTTTTTAATATAGTCTTCATTTTTTCTGCTTACTTAGTGGGGATGTGAAAAATCTTCTAAGCATATGGAGATTTCAAATTTATCTTGATATAATTTGTGAAGTCAGGACTATTTTCTGATCCAGATGGAAGCTAGAAGGGGCTACAAAAGACGACTGAAATCAAGTTTTATACCTCAACAAGGCACAAAAACATCTGTTCTGTGTTGGCCAAGATACAGTTAATAAACATTATTATTAGGTAAGCATCCTATTGAGCCTGTCATCATACATGTCAATCTCTGTATTAATTAGGGCTCTAAACCCAACAGCAGGGAAAGAATTTCTGAGAAGCGTGGGCCAAAATAACACTTATGCCCGTCAACCACCACCACAATCTCCCATCCTTTTACTCAGGCTTAAAGAAAAAGCATCCAGCAAGCTTAAAATAATTTAGAAACACTTCTATATTGTCAGCATCTCAAATTTTGCTCAAACAGAGCCTCTAGTTAAAATTTTTCATAACAACAAGGTTTTGCTGCATAAAGTTGAAGGGAAATTTATGGGACTAAACCTCTGCGTATTCTGAAAGTCTCATCCTCAGTATACATAACCTGTTACTAACAGATTATTCAACTCCAGATGGTAAAGACATAACTGAATATTCACAGATACCCTTGAGTATCCTGGATCTGCAGAGGTTACAAGACCTTTAACAAAGGAAGAGCACTAGTAATAAACCACCACAAAGGTTCTTTTGTGAGATTGGGATCACTTAACTCAATTCAGACCTCTGCAGAAAATGAGTTACTTTTCAGCACAGAGCAGGGCACTGTGAAAGCAGCTTTTACATTTATTTCAAGATCTCGGGGTTTCTTCTGACACAGCGGCAGAATGAAGCTTAAAGGAGGCCCTTCATACCGTCATTTGTCAGTCCAGGTGGCCTGGGCACGCAAGGAGTCTGCAACATTTTCTCGCAGGCTGCCCCTTCCTTGTCCTTTAACATTTCAGTTCACATTGGAGGCTCAACGACACAGCACTTGCCTACCATTGCTTCCGCAGTCTGCTTTTTCAGACCTTCGATTTTGGAAATTGCTACCCCATTTGAAGTAGCACACACCTGCAGTAGCATTTGCTTTCACGTTTCTCTAAAGCATATTGCGTTTCTTAATGTACTACCTTGGGCAAGGCAAGGACTTACCATAAACTACATCATTCTATTATCTAAGCGATTTCCTGATTGAAATAAATCCCAGTAACAGCTTGCATATACTGTGGATACTAACTTTCAAGCTCCAAACTTATGCCTATGACCGTTTTCCAGGAAGGCAAAGCCTCTTTCAAAGTTGTTGTTTCTTGATAGCAGCATTTACACAGGAAGCAGAAAATGTAAATTCTAGGATCTCATCAACCAGCACAGGACCCAGATAAAAGTTCAAAAGCTGAGTCTCTTCACACCTGCTTCCACTGGAGCTGGGTCACTATGAACAGGGAAGGCAGATTCAGAGGGCTAAAAAAAAAAAAAAGAAAAAAAAAAAGAAAAAAAAAAAAAGAGCAGCCTCTCTCCATACAGGGTGCTGAGCTTTAGTAGCTCTTGTTTTAGTAAACTTCAATCTCCATGACATTGTTTTAGACATTTCTAAGGACTTAAGGTGCTTGAGGCCCGATATTGTCCTTCACCGTTGGATCCTAAGATCTGGTTATTTAGGGAAAATTCAGATACTTTGAACACATCCCTAAGGTACTTCTTTGGTTACTGATCTATAGAAAATGAACCAAAGCCATCAAGGCAACACTCAGAATTCCTTCCAGTAGCGACTATGGAGACTACGACACTGGAGTCATCACTCCTCAGCTTTGGAGCAAAGAATACCTTCTGCACATAGCAATCATGTTTTTGGGAACTTGTACACTCCTTTGGTTCCTTTCATTATGTGACATCAGATTAGTTTCAACTTCATTCATTTCAAATTTGAATCATCTCACGCTCCTCCACGGATGAAGTCTTTCATGCCTCTTTGTACTCTGACTTGATGCCCATTTCCTCTCTCCATATTTACTACTTGTGTTGGTCCTGCCTTCGTTTCATGATGCTGAGGAAAGCGGAACACCTGTACCTTGCAGGCTGTAGCCACTTAACCAAGTTTGTGCTAGTATTTCAGCAGCAGGATTTTGAGGAGTCTTGAAACCTACAGACTTCTCCAGGACAGAAGCTGCCGACACATTGTGATACTGGTGCTGGTGGCTTTTCACTGCCTCGGGGAGTGAAGTATTTTCCTCCTCAAGCGCGCAAGGTTGGGAATATTTCTCTCCCTCCACTGCACACTCCCTTCATAAGCCACACCTTTCCTCACGTTTTCATAGTCCCCCTATTTCTCTTTCTTCTGTCTTGCACAGGTGTAAGAAAAGGATGGCCCTCAACCATACTACCTGGGGGAACAGAGCTGCCACAGTGAAAGCAAACTGTCTCCTCCTGATGTTATGCTGAAAAGCTGATTCTAATGCTGTCTTTTGCCTAAGAGACCCCCAAGATATACCGCCACTGGAGAATGAGATTTCTGAGCTGCGGCTCACACACCATTCCCTCTGCATCCTTTTCCCTAGCCTTGCAAGGAAGAACTTCCTGCAAGTTTTTCAATCACAAGCTATCGCAAGAGCTCATTAGGTCACCACAGTCAGCGACAGTTACAGAAACTACGTGACTCTCAGAGTACTTGAACAACATCGGCAGAGTTCCCAGTTGCAGAATAACCACCGGCAGCTATAATACCTTCTTGCGGAGGGGGATGCTCCCACGGAGGATTCCTGTGCAGGCACAGGGTGCTGCGATGCCAGGATTCTTACTGGCATTTGCACCAGTCATGATTAATGTACAGGGGAAACTGGTCACAAAGATCTTACCAAGGATTATGAAGTACTGGTGGGGTTGGACACCCAACACACAAGCTCTCCCTGAAAATAACTGTTCATTCAGCCTAATGGTAATGCTGTATTTTTTATCAGGAAAGAAAAAAAACACATAAAAATCACTCTGGTCAGTATGGATTTTGGCTTTTGCATTCCACGACCCTAAGAGCTACCCATCTCATCTGTCAAAAAATTAATCTAGACTTCTAGTCTAAACTTCTCAACACCCTGTATGGACAACAGAGGAAGGTCCTTCCAGAGTCCAACTCATTTAGTCCCAGGCACACGTCTAACAGGCAGGATGCATCAGTCTGTGGAGACGGTGCGTTGTTTCCACAAAACGTGACCAGACAGCTAGCTTTAGATGATACATCCCGTCCCCTGATGCCAAAGTTAGCTGACCGTCATGGCCTCACAGAGAAAGCCAGGAATGTTGCAATTCTGTTGCATGCAGTTTATAATCCCCTTTCCAGTGTGGCAAACGAAACAAAGAGCAATTTTGAGTATTAAGAACCCAGATCCAGTGAATGTTTTCAAATCTGATTTGTTTATCTTGCTGTTCATAGGTAGGAACTAACATTAGGTGAAAAAAGACAAGGACTTTTTTTAGAGCTCGAAGATGTGGAGTTGTATGCAATACAGATGGAGGCACAGAAAAAAAACTGAGAAGCAGAATTTCTCTGGACATTTCTCTGCCATTTATAGTGTTGGATGGGTAATTCTGTGTGTGTGAAGTAAAGGAAGAAACTTAGGGCATACAGATGACATGGAGTTTTCCCAAATACTCCCTGAAACATTGAAGTGAAGTATAATACCGTTTTCTTTTGAGATTTTCCTTATGCAAATATATTGGTCCTCCAGACGAGAATGACTCCTTAACAAGGACATTAAGTGAGAGGGTGTCAAAACAGGAAATAATATAAAATAATCTTTAAATAAAAGTTTAATTCACTCTTACTTTACAGAATATTTTAAAGCACCTTATCATTTTACTGTCAGTTCTAAAAAAGACCAACAAGAGACTGCAACGATTTTTGCTGGTAAAATATAGGAAACCTTGTGAACAAATGGATACAAGCTAAGCAAAAGCACAGTAATATTTTGTACACCACAACTATAATCAGAATCTGGCATTGGTTTATTCAAATTTTGCTTTCCTGGAAGCAAAGCTTACATGTTCGTAAACATCAAAATAAACATTGCTTAATTTTACAATTTGCTAAACAAATACTTTTTTACCCTGAAGGGCATCTGAAGAGCCACCTATTTGTCTGGCAGTTCTCCTGTCGACCTGTGCTTCAATATTTTTTCAAACAATTGGTTCCCTTACAATTTTAATGGTGCTAAAAATTTCTTCCAATATTGTGCAAGTCATAGGCAAGGTCATTTTGATGTGTGCCCTTCCCTACATAGTTTTTTGATCAGTACTTAACTAATGCAACTGTGAAAAACTATACATCTTCAGGAAAATGTTTTGATTTTGGTCCTGTGGTTAAAGACCTTCTATAACTGAGTTGTTTACATGGATTTGAATCACAAGCATGTACACAACAAAACCACTATACCAATGTTTCTTGGTCTATGCATAAAAAGTATGTCTTCTACTTACACTAAAACATACAAAAAATAAACTACAAAAATTGTTTACACTTGATTTCAGCAAAAAAAGCTTTCTTCAAGAAAAATGATTCTTCTTTTTTTCAGCCATCAAAAAAGGAATGCAAGTAAACAATAAATACATGTGCTTTCTCCATATAGACATATTTACACTTGAGTCTTTGGCTTATGTTTAAGTTTCTTTATAAAGATCTTTATGTGATCCAGCCATCATTGCACATTAAAACAAAATAAGCCAGTTTTTTTTTACTATATATAATATATATATGCAACACTTGAAACGTATAAAGAATGAACCTTACTATCAATTTTCACTGTTATTGTACTTTAACAATGTATCAAAAGAAAAAAAAAAGAAAAATTAATACCATATAGGAAATATTGATACATGCAACAGATGGTCGCTCTACTGTAATTGAGAGACGGCTGCATATACAACACTGAAAGTCCTAATTTGCGCAAATCTCTTTTGACTCTGGTTTTTGTTAAATAGTATTTATGTGGCACTAAATGTTGATACTGTATACAAGCATAGAAACAGATTGAGTTCTTTTATTAAGATACACAACTTCATAAGAAAAATACTTTGCATTTAAAATTTAAAATCCCTCCCGCCCCCCTCTTCCCCTAAAATCTTTCTTCACAGGATCAAGAACTGTTGTCAAAACAGCTTATTGAGATTCATGTATTTGGTGAACTTTGTCACATCCATTCTGACTAAGAGGATTCCAAGTACTCCAGTGCAACATCGTAGCAGAAGCGATATTGCTCCTTTAAGGGGAAAGCGGAAAAAAAAAAAGAGAAGTTAAATTAAGATTCTAAAGTATTAGCAGCAATATCTACAAACAAGAATAGTCTTTGCTAACTACTATGCGGTTCTAACTTCAAGCCTGACATGCTTGGGTTTTCTTTTTTTTTCCTCCCTACTCCACAAGTGTATTACCAGCTCTGATTTAAAAACTCCCCCTAACCAATGAACTGGAAAAAAAATCTGACCGTGAAATGCAATGATTTGCTTCTCTGATTTTTTCAGCTTCTGAACTGAGCTTATCAAACATGAAAAGTCTTCCTATCAGAGCATTCTTGCAGTGAAAGCACCTTGACTCTGATATACCATTTATATTTACGTTCGCTGATGCTGAGCAGGTACCTAGTGCCTGCCGCTTGGACAGGCAGGGAATGGCTAGGGAATACTGAGCTGCGGGACAAGGCTGCTCTGGGCCCACAGCCTGCTTGTACAGTCGTGTCAATGTAACGTCCAAGAGATCAGATGCACGATTAAAAGAGAAGTTAAAGCTCAAAATGTCATGGCGGTTAGTATTTCTCCTTAACAAGGCTGCTGTTCAGAGCCCATACTGGGGGAGAGGGAGGAAGGAGAGAGGAGAAGGCAACAAGGAGAACAAAACACAAGGAAATTAATTCGATCTCTATTGTCCTTGCAACCTAACAAAGCGAATTATTTTTGTTTGCAAAGGAAGTCAGTGTGATCCATTAGCAGGAAGTGGTGGGGATATCTTAAAGGCTTTATTGCGCTGCTCATTTTTGTTATCTGATCATGCTGCTGAATGTAGGGCACATGACAGCGTTACATATTGGTTTTCCTGGTTTGTTTTCTAACGACTCAACAGCTGCTGCTGTTCAAGAGTTCTGAATAAAAACCCACACAACAGAATCACGTAACTACGGAAATTCAGTAACTGCAGATTAAAGCTACGATGGAATTCAGGACTATTTTGAAATGAAATATAAGTTTACAGACCATTTATCAGAAACACACACAATCTACATTGGCCTCCCTTTACAGTGACACAAGTAATTTTCCATGTGATCTGACCTGTTTTCTTCACAGCGGTGAACTGAAATCCAGGCAGCAATTCAATATGTTGTGTCTCAGACATCTATGGTACAGCAGACTGCAAAGTATTTGCGGCAAACCCAGCAATACCTAGCCCAATATCACTGCTGCTACAGGACGCCCTACCTGTTAACATTTTAACCATCTTCTTAATTTATGTGGTGGCAAGGGATGGAAGTGATGCACAGTAATTAAGCAAATCATGCCACAGAAGCTACTTGATACCAAGCAAACAGTGACACCCGGAAAAAAGGGCATTATGGGAAGAGGCAGCTGCAGCCATTTTGCTCAGTATCCAAGTTCACAAGGTCAGAAGCAATTTTCACTATGCATAAAATGCAAAACGTTTTTAATTTCAATTGGCATCCCTGATTTTTATGCGGTAGGCAGCCATCTGGCTGAAAAGTGACACTGGCTGCTGGCAGTGTGAGAGTCAAATAGCAGAAACTCCCTAACACTGTCTAACCTGCTTTCACATTTACCCACGGGAAGGAAAAAAAATCCACTTGGGAGAATTTTTTTAAAGGACTTTCCACAATGTTCCGTTTTCGTGACTAAAGTGATCACATGGATGGATATGCATTCATACTGTATGCATAAAGATTGATCAGAAGAGCTAAGGTTACTTTGAGCTCTGGCAATGTACATACAAATATTTAGTTTGTGCTTTTGCTAATTCAGGCTGATATTGTTTATATCAGGTTATTGTTTATATTGTTTATTATTTAGGTTAACTGTTGAACTCGATCTTAAGGGTCTTTTCCAACCCAAATGATTCTATGATTCTATATATTAATTTCCAACATACTAGATTCAAGTCTTTGATTTTAAAGTTCTGAGGTATCATTTTGACTACTACAAATCTGAGTAACAAACATTACCATTACTCAATACAGCTTCCAAAGCAGCAGTTGTTATTAAGAAGCAAAATATTCACATCTGCAGCTACTAATCTGGACTTTACAGCTTATTCCTACTAAGAAGAAATGCCCTGGTCCATAAAATTTCAAGATGGTTTGTGTGAGCACAACATACTGCAACTTCTCTTCAAATAGACCAAGTTATTTTGGGACATTGAAGTGCATTCTGTTAACTCAGAATGTTTTCTGTGAAAAGCACAGTACCACTACAAGAAAAGTAGTGTAAATGCTTAGGCTGGCCTGTCATGATGCTGACTTCTGTGTACAAATTTCTACCACAGGATATAACGTTTACGTTACACTTACACTCATGCCAAGAATCAGATCAGCCTCTGCTCAGTCTATACTACAAGGGGAGCCTGAGACCCCAAAACCATGTCCCTGTCCTCTTGTGGCCCATCATAGGACTGAGAACGCAGCTCACACAAGAGAGCCTCTGGCTCCCTGGCTGTTTGCAGTAACCCTGATGGGCTGGCGCTTACCGGCGTTTCTACCATGTTGGGCTTACTGTTCCGCAAAGTCTTCACAGCGTGGAAAACGTCCACCACGTTCTGCCTTTTTACCATCTCAACCACAATGCCGATGGCACAGAACATGCCGCTCCGGCCACCGCCGTTTCTGTACACAGGGAAAAGAGCTGGTTAAATGTCACTATGGCGTAAAGAGAACATCAAAATGCATTTTTGTTCTTTCACTCTATAAACATGAGCGATTCGTGAGTCCCACAGGGAGACCAGGCTTTAGCCACCTCCTTGCAGCTCCAGTGGATTTGGTCTGAGACGTTTTCTGTTTCTGACCTTCCTCTCAGTTACTTCTTTTGAATTCTGCCCTTACAGCCCACCATGCTGCCCAGCTATGCTATAGCCTAATTTACATAGGCATTAGGAATAAAAAACAAAGTTCAATGGCAAGTACAACATTTTCCACTTAGTTTTAGAAAAAGACTCACTTAAATTATCCTATGGTATGAGGATTAACTAGCCAGATGAATGCCAAGGCATCACTGATTTGATATCTTGTTGACCTTTGGAGACACTTCGGAACTATTTCAATCTTTATTTCAAAGAAATTAAGGTAGGTATTTTTTCTTATTAAGTTTAAATTAGCCAGAAGGTTTCATGGAAAATGAGAAGGAGCAGGCAGAAAGGGGCCACAAGTTAATTCTGAACATTTAAACAGAAGCTTTTTGTTAAAAGTAGGGAGAAATGCATAATTCAATTTCTAAGTTTTAAACCTTGTATGTAAATAGAGTAGGAGACAGATTGGTCATTCCCTGCTTAGGGAGAAAAAGATGCCGCCTTTTCAAAACTCCCAGACCAGCTTCTATTTAAATATCAGGCTCAGATAAGCGGTCATTTATCAACAATACTTTTAGGATCACATACTGTAGAACATTATAGAACTTTTCGTTGATTTCATCTATCCATAGCTTTCAGCCTAAACCCCTCAAAACACAGCAGGCCTTCTGGAAAAAAATGCAACACACGATATGCAAGAGATACACAAAACCCCACCATTTGGCACTCAGCATAATAGGCTTCCTTACTGAAACTGTACAGAAGAAATTGATCTGTTCACATTTTGTACCTGAAAAACATGCTATTATGTACAGAAGGAGATAATACACAGTATCACTGTAGTATCATGTCCAAAATACTCATTCCCATGGTACCTTGACCTGACACAGACAAATCTGAAAGTTGACCAAAAGCCAACCTACAGTAGCAGTGGTACATTGTTGATTGTTTGGGGGTTTTGTTTTGGTTTGGTTTTCTTTTCAGTAAAAGGAACAAGGGCATTGGCAAAAGAATGCAGCCATAAGAATACTGCTTGAACTTAAAACAAGAACTAATTTATAAGCATTTATTTGAAGAGCAGCAATTTGACTTTTTCCCGATTACTCACAGGCAATGGATGATGGTCCGGCCCTCTCCTTCTTCACATTCCTCTTGCCATTTTTCAACCTGGAGAATTAACTTCAAGAAGGATCTCTTGGAAGCTGGTACATCTCTGTGAGAAGCCCATCCCAAATACTGGAATTGCTGCACCATCAAATAGCCCTCTTGTGGCTGAGGGAAACCAGAGAGTTTTAGGTCAATACAGCACATTTACATTTTGGTATAGAAAACCAAAAACTAAAACTAACATGAAACCTAAGTATTCTATATTATGGACAGACTCCAACATGTATATACATTGCATGGTAGGGTGTCCATTAATTCATATCACTTGAGCTCAAGGAAGATGTCAAAAAAGGAAAAAAGGGAACTACATTGAAGACAACATCACAGTTTATCAATCAACAGTTTATCAATCACTAATATATTCTACCCTGACTTCTTCTAAATGGACAAATTCCCTAGATTCTATATGTCAAAGGTTTTTATCCTTAACATCAATAATCAACTAAAAACATTGCTGTTAAATTCTTAGACCTACAGAAGTGAAGAGACATACCTTTAGCTCCCATGCACGAACTGACCCCATTATAAATAAACAACAAGTAATACTGGTGCACAAGTATGACTATTTTCCTTGAAGTCTTCCCTTTTTGCCTGACAATGGTAATCATGAGAGCCTTACTGCTAGTCTCTGAGTCTTCCACATGCTACATGCTACATGGGGCAAGCTTTGAGTAGAATTAAATGGTCACAAGAAAGGCCTCAATAATTGGAAGAACAAATAGTCTATTCAGTTTCTGAGAGCTGAGGAAGACAAAAAGGAGTAGGAATGTGGATTGTCGAAAAGGAAAAACAGAGCAGAGAGATTTTTGGAAGCAAGATGTAAAGGCAAAAAGGCATAGGGGACTAAGAGAAGTTGTGGAGTAGAAAATCAAAACATCGTAAAGAAGAAGAAATGGAAAAAGTGAAAATGAGAAATGAACCAAAAAAAAAGAGGAAGTCTCGAAATACAACAAAAAAAGCGCTATGGTGTAATATTTGCCAGTGTGCCTACACCTTAGCTTCCTGTAGTTTCCAAACAAGGTATGAAGAGCTGAAAATGTTTTTCTTAGCTCTGAATATAAGCAAAAAAATGGTTTGGATAAAATACTGGCCACATGCAAACTGATCTCTGCACTTTGAAAAATGAAAATGTGACCAAAATAAAAGAAAAAAAATATTTTTGTATACACAGTAATCAGTTTTCCCTGAAGCTATTCTTCAACATTAATGAAAGTTAAACATATTCTCCAAGTAGCAACTGGTGGCATGTCAGTTCAGTATTGGATGAAAGATATAAAGTAATATTGGTAAGTAAAACAGGGATTGCTGGTTAACTGTAGATATAACGGTAGCACAAGCATCTGTAACTCTTTACCTGTAGGCAACATAAATAAGTGATTTATAGAGGTGAGCTAGAGGAGGCAACACTGCATGGCAAACAGGGTTTAGGAAGATGCTACGACAGTGCGAAACACAACGGGATAGCAAAAAGACAAGACGGTGCAAGGTGTGAAAGAGCCGGATGAGAATGCGAGACCGGCACTGCTACTGAAGTTGAGAAAAAGGTTATAAATGTAGGCTGAGGCACAGTGGTGCAGAACCCTTCAGAGGTAGAGGAGGCTTCAGAGTTTTTTCACACCCTGCTCTGCAGGATGCCACAATCCTCCTCTTATGTTGTGGTTTTCGCACGTTCCTGATTCACCACGGAAGATGTCTTACAGAAGCTACGAATTAAATACCTGTCACTACATGTTCGTTACAGGGATATTTCTTTCACTGTACACTAAACAAACAGAATACTTCTCATACATCTTCTACTCATTAGGGAGAACATCACAGAACAACAGTCATTCACCTTACTGCTCTCTCTGCTTAGTGTGCAGCTATAGAAAAGTACTAGAAATTAGTATTAGATATCGATGCTTGACTGCCTCTTTTCTGGGTAATGTCTTAAGAACATTAGTATATTACTATTATTCAAAACTAAAAACCACAAGAGCAAGTGTTAAAAATGACATATTTTTCCGTTACATACTGTTATGATAATGCTTACTCTTGTTAGATTGCATATCCTGAAAATTCGGTTTATGACGTCGCAGTCCATTGAACACGACATGCATTCCACTTGGATGGGACCATACCGCAGTATCCCTTCCTCGGGCCAGTATTGCGGGCAGCCCTGCACCAGAGCAAAATGGGCATAATTAAATGGTAAGTTACAACTTGAGCATTGCCTCGTTCCACTGCAGACATCTCGCCTAACCTTTACAGAGCAACTAGTGTTAATTAGTTGCTCAGTAAAGCAGAGAATAACTGTGAAGTCACTGCACTGCTCTACATTTTGATTATGTAGCAGATCCAGAGTGATTACATCATGTGATGGTACATGGAGAACAGCCCCAAACTAACCTGTGCTAAGTCGACTTCATTTAACATCACAAGAGAAGTACAGCCGTAGTCATACACTAATCTCCAGAAATCTTTCACAGTGTTTGGTAAAGGATGTTGTGTGACAATAAAAGCTGCTGGCTGCCTGTAGCTCTGTAAAGGCAAATGATTTTATTAGCACCGGTAGAGGAAGTACTTAATAACTTCCACTCAAACACTGCCACAGAAAAAACACAGAAATAGAACAAAGCTGCGGCATCAGTTACACCAGACTGCACCAAAGCTGATGTTAAAAATACATTGCCATTCGTCTCCGGTAAGAACAAAGAGGTTACTCTGCTCAGGTCTGCCTTCTGCTCTGTTGCAGGCCAAGCCCTGTTTCAGCTCAGATGTGCACGGGGCCCTGAAGATGCCCTTCAGGGCTCTACTCAGCTGAGGCTCGGGCAACTCCGCTCCAGGCCCTGTGTCTGGAAGACCGAGCAAGAAACCTTCTCCTGTGCTGCCAAGAGGGGTGCGGAGGTCTCGGAAGGGCACCCCATCCACAGCAGGTTACACGTGAGCTCTGTGACCGAACCAGGGACTAAGCTCAAGCCCAAATTCTGTTTTGGTGCCACAACCACGGGATCACCCACAGAACTGACGTTCAGGATTACTGGGGCCCATTTCCAGCAGAAAGCAGAAGTCAGACAGCAAAATACTATTTCCTGTCACAACAGCAGATTCCATTTTCTGTATGCTACATTATACAGAGCTGCAAAATGGGGTTTCCAGCCTTACATAGGTTGGCTGTGACGCAACTAATAGCAGAGGCACTAAGTCCCCGAGCAGAGAGCAGAAGAGGAGACTTCAGAAGTTTTTTGCAGGCAATTTGCAACTATGCACGGAAGAGTTTTGCGGTGAAGGAATACAGATATGAACAGGCCAGGAAGCACCGACAGGTTCATCTGAGAAACAGAGTAAGATGGTGAATATTCCTGTAGGTGGCTGGGTTTGTAAGTCACCAGTTTGAAGATGAAATGCTGGGACTGCTGTATGCAACACAAAGATCTCCATGCTTTGCACTCATGCTGGTAATAAATGCAGTTTGGCTGTTTTTTTACTGAAATAAGTAAATCAACCTAGGAGAAAGATCGGGCAGGGTAACTAAACTGCTTTTGCTGTGGAAGCTTGCTTGTTTTAAGGTTGGTATGAGGGTTTTTCACATGCAATGTATCAACATAACCTCGAAGAGCACAATGTGAGGCCCAGAAGCAAAAAATACAACTTTTTTTCACCCTTCTACTTCTTGTAAACTGTGAAGATAACAAATTAATGCCTTTAGCATCAGTACTTATTTGATCACAGAATAAGGAGGCTCTTTTTCTAATGCAGGAAGCATATCGGAGTAATAGGACAGACATGCAGCTTGTGTCCTACTTCCTAGATCTGCCCAGGGAGCAAAAAGGAATAACCACTAGCAATTCTTCCCTTGCCTTTTTAAGAAATAAAACACGTACTAGCTGATATTTTCCTAGCCCTTTTCCTCATGATTTCTGGCCTTTCCTGAGACAAGAGAACTAACCTAGATTGAGATGATCAGGTTTTCAAAAAGAACAGGCAGGAGATCTGCTGCTGGGAAGCAGACACCTTTTTGTGGGAACACAGGGACAAGTACATTGTGGAAAGAGGAAAGTTTCCATTTCTGTTTTGCTATCAAAAGTCTCCTTTCCTTGCCCAGCAGTGGGCTCTCCCTCTCTAAATAAGTCAGCCTTAAAAACAAAACCAGAAGAAAGAGCAAGAAAAAACTCTTAATACCCAAAGTGCTAACCCTGTACTCATAGCCTTGTTATATGCCTTCATTGTAATATAGTTCTTCTTTTCTGCTCCTTTTTTCCTTTTATTACTACCATTTCTGTCTTTCCTTACTTGCCTTTGATTGCTCATCCATTAATACATCACTTGGTTCCTGTCCCTGCCTGCTACACTCTGTTACACACTCAGAGTCCTCCTGCTACCCAAGCCGTTCTGCCTGCGTTGTCATCCCTCCTGCCTACATCACACTCCACTATGGAGCTGTGTTGGTTGGTCCATCGCACATCAATTTTATCCAGGTGTTTAATGTAATTTTAACTGCAATTCTAAACAATTTTAGTTGCTACCAAAATTCTGCTCACTGCTCCAATTCATCCATTCAGCCCCAGTGACTGCCTAATAGATTGGTCTCACACATGCTACTCCTTTCTTTCTGGCATAATAGCTAATTGTGAGATTAGGAACTACATTTTGCTAGCAGTTCAGAAGTTTCCTGCGCTAGCTCAGGCAGAACTCCAGGACGAATACACCACTCAGTCTTGATGATTTCTGTTGCTATTTGCCATTTTATTCCAGCACCTCTTCTTGACACGGCAGTTTCTGACAGCACTTCATTTTTGAGGAAGGAGAGATGCTCCTGGAAATCAGGCCACGTATTTAAGTATTTACTGTAAAGGCGACTTTAGGGGCCTAACTTTGGAAATGCTAATGGCAGGCACAGGCACGTACCTGACAGCACATGTGATGAACTGCTTTATCGACCAGACACCTATAAGCAGGTTCACCTCCATTTTTCCCATTAATTCACCTTTTCCCCTGACAATATTTCTGTCACTCACACTTCAAAGAGCTGCAACTCAAAACATGAACAACAAAATCCCCAACCCTATCCCCAAACATGCCAAAGAAACAATTTTTTTTTCCTTCTTCCCCTGTCTCCTGCCTCAATATACACAGCCTTTTCTATAAAATAGCGATAGTAACCTCATGCTAAGGTAGGTAATATTTACTTCCTGACAAAGCAGGTTTTTGAGATCCTGCCGAGATTTGAGATTTGGAGGGCGGAAGGCTAGAGCTTTATATAATGCCGTTGAAAAGGAGAGATTTCCAGTGGGTCCCACAAGGATGGGAAAGACTAGAGATAACAAACCTTTTCAACAAGCAACACAAGCTGGTGGGGTTTCTTACCCGTTCCCCCCACCCTTCTTTGTTAGACTGTTTTACTGGGCACTACAGTAAGAGAGAATTACCCTTTTTTAAACCAGCAAGTGCTCGGTCTCATATTACACAGCTTTTCACAGCACACTATGCAGACAAAGGAGATAGTCTCTTACGTCCATAAGAGCAGCATTGATGTAGTTGCTGCTCTCCCCATCAATAGTAATTAAGAAAGGCAGACATCTGTCAGGTGGCAGCATATCCATGAAGCGGTTCTTGTCATGGTTCCTTGGCAAGCAGGCTATGCTGCAGTCCTCCGCTTGCAGGCGAGGGGTCACAGAATTCAGGGTCTAAAGGGAGAGAGGATGCTCGCTTTAGCATGCTGAACTAACAGACAATGGACTTGAGATTCCCCAAGTTTTAATCTAAAATATTGCAATATGGGAAAATGTGAGGCATTAGCAAGAAAACATGAGCAAATAAGAGCTCCTCCCTGTTTGATGGACGTGCTGGGGCTTTTCAAGGTGGGGTTAAGCTGCAGGTGTAAAAGGCACTCCGTGTACCACTGAACAGATTGCACATGACACCATCCGCTCCGAAAGGAATAAAACAAAGAGTATCCTTTGGAGCCCTAAAGAGCTATGCCTTAGCTGTGCAAATTCAAGCCAAAACTCTCTGTGGTTCCTACTCAGTGCTCTTTATTCCAGACAGATATTTACTGCAATTTTATTCAGAGCAAGATATTCCATATTTAAAACAACTTTGCAAAGCACATAAACACGGGTGCTTTATTTTGTGGACTAAAAGTAAGGGACCAGATTCTATAAACGTGATATGAAAACCCTTTCCCTATCTAGAGGCAAAAAAAACATTGTCACATGAAGAGTTAGTAGGAACTGTGAATACCTGAAACTCATCTTTGAGATGCGAAGAGTTTGTCTGGGAGTCTATTCTAATCATATCAAAATAAGCAGCTTTGAATTCGCAGACAGGAATGGCAGTTTCTCCACACAGGCAAGCTTCTAGAATAGCATCATGAATAAAGATGTACTGCTCCTACCAAATTAGGCAAAGAAACAAATATTATAGCCATTTAAAAACAACAGATCCTTCCTTCCTCTAGGATAAACAGATCTCCTGCACACTGTAAAACTCATTCAAGGTGGTGTCCATCAATCCATTAAATACTGCTCTAGTACATACACAATCTTGTCCTAATTGGGATGCAGTTAACAAGGATGTTTTCTTCAGAATCAATTTAAATTCAGTAAAACTTAACAGAACAGGCATGGCAATTTATTTAAAGGAGGGTTTTCCGTTTTCTTGCGGTGCTTGTGGGTTTCTGCATATATGCCAGTGACTTGTTGGCTTTACTCATTTTGCTTTTTTAAAAATAGCTTTCAGTCTTGCAATACTAGCAGAAAGTGTGAACTGCTTCAAGCACTACTTGTGTGATTAGCAATTACTCAGTACGCTGCGTTCTCCTTATGTGTGTGCAAGCTAGTACACCGATTGTCTGATAGCTGGCTCTAGGCCAGTAATAAACTGAAGTGTGTCACAACAGGAACAGCATTTCTTCCCATTTTTTTATTCTGACTTGCCTTGAGATATCCCGAGTCCTAGACAACTGCATTATGATTTCGACCAGGCTTCCTGTCAATTTTTACACAGCACCTACTATATTTACTTAACCCAAGAGTTACAGATGTAAATCATGCCTATTCAGCCACGTGTGCAAATTGTGCCAGCCTCACCTAGGTACTGTGGATCGCAATGAGGTTATTAACAGACAAACTTTAACATGTGCCTTTAACAAGAGCACATGTCCAGGGACCAACTGTCGTATTCTGGCTCTACAGCCTGTGCTGCCACGCACACATGGCTATGGAGCTCTTGCCCTCACTGTTGTATAATGACCATTACAAGAACTTGCCGCAATTACAGCTTTATTTTGCTGTGCAAGTATGAACCTCTTAGAGAAGATGAGAAAAAAAGGAACAGCAGTAGGGGTGTTAACTCACGCTGAAGAGCAGACTAAACTGGGATGGTTGAAGTAGTCACACTGGAACACTCCACCCCATGCACTTCCCAAAGGTTAATGGCCCTGTAGCAGGGGTAGCTGATCGGGTTCATTTAGTTATTCTGATGCCACAGGTTGCAGCATGGAATAATAACTGCACCAAATCACATTGATGTAATCTCTACCAACTGCAGAGATTTGTACATGGCCACAGGTGAAACAACTTCTCAGGTAGATGTCCACATGGAGGATAGGAGACAAGAGGTGGCAAACCACTTCAGGTAACCTGTCTTTATATAAATCAATAACCTATGTTTCTGTGCAAGCTCAGTGATACTCAGGTGGCAGAGCAGGAGCTGTTACAGCTTCATCACTAAGGCAACAGTTTTACTGTGGAGTTGCTGAAGGCACAATGAAAGACAGAAAGGAAAAAGGCTTGGCAATTAGGTTAATAAAGCAAATAAAAGAGTTGAAAAGGGAGAGTAAAACGGACATAAAGTTCCACAGGTAAGTCAAATTATGGATGAAGTGATTGGAGATAGTCTAAAACCGGTGGCAACCTGCTGAAATTCCAACTTTGGGTTCCTGGAATTGCTGATACCAGAGCTGGGGAGAGACATGCCAGACAGGTGAACTGTAGGGTCTTCCCTAAAAAATCCTCCTTGCTTTCCTGTTGTTACAAAGTCAGGCAGGCACCTGCTTGTGTGAAGACTGAAAGGTGTCGGGTTTGTTGCACCATCCTGGTTCTGGGCACTGTTTGTATTGAGCAATGCTCCCCAATCAAGACAACCCCTCAACAGGTCTACTTTTCAGAGTAACAGTGAAATTCTGACCTAGCACATTTTAGAATGCATCAGGTGCTTTGAAGGTAAACTGCCATACCTCTGTCTGTACCATGTTGATGCGACGGGACCGTAAGGCTTTGACACAGTTGTAGATATCCACAACACCTTCTCTTTCTGCCATATCTAACATGATATCGATCACAATATAACAACCTGTTCGTCCAGCACCAGCACTAAAATGAATCAGTAAATACTGTTAGGAATAGCCCCATGAAAACACCTACAATCTTTATAAACCCATTACTGACAGCATTTTTATAAAGTCATTCAGTTCTTTCATCACAAACACTATCTAATTTTTATCTTCTTTCCTCTTCATAATACCTTGTAAAACTTTTGATGTGCCCAAAACAACCATTTTCCATCAGATTTGATCCATTAAGTAACAGCAAAAAAAAAAAGGTTTTCCTCAATACTTAAAGTAAAAAATAAAAGTTAGTTAAACTGCAATGTGGAGGATGATTATGCTCATGCACTTCAAAATATGACAAATCTTTATTTAATACAACTAAGGCTGATTTTTAAGAGATATGTTACAAATAGAAACTCAAGTGCATGTTTTACCAGCCAAGCTCTAAGCTAGTGCAGGCAGCATATTTAGCAGTAGCCACAAGAACCTCTATTTATTTTGGTTTTATATTAAGCTATGGACAGTTTTTGCACAGTGACTTTTTAAAATCTGTAAAGGCTGAGTAACTCTATCTACAGAATGCAATTAAACATTTGACGGTGCTGAAAGAAAATTCTGTATGTCAAAGGACTGTGTCCCAACAACACAAACCTTGCAAAATTTGGACAGGAAAAACAACATTCTGTATTTGTTGCCATTAACCTCATTCCATCTTCCTTCACCTACTTGTTTACTTTGATTTAAATTAATAATCTGTTCAGACATGATATGCAACACCACGCTATCAAGGCAGATGTATCTACACTTATTCTCAAATGCTGTCACAAAATTGTTGTAGGCTACCTAAAATGGTAGCCTGAAGTATCATATGATTTAGTTGGTGCAGCTCTTGCAGGAAAAAGAAAATCTCTGGCTATCCTATTTAGGAAAAGTGTACTAGAATCCAATTATTTCCAAACATTGCTGTAGACAGCCAAATCCTACTGCAGTGTGAATTAGGCAATTCAAAAAGGGAACAACAAAAACAAAACACTTCAAAAGGATGGATGCTTCACATGAGACTACTGTAAATGCTCAAATACACATTTGTGGGAAAATATCCATCTACCCCTCTGTACACACCTGCAATGGACAACAATAGGGCCCGCACTAGGAGGGTTAGACAATTTGACTCTCCGTATAAATGAAAGCAGTCCCGTGGCATTGTAAGGAACTCCATGATCTGGCCAGCCAGTGAAATGAAACTGTTTAACTTCACGGATTTCATTGTAGCCCCTCTGTAAAGGCAAAAAAAAAAAGGTTATGAAATTCAAAGTATTTCATAGACTAGATGTCCTCTGACTCATATAATGATAACACACACTGACAGAATCTACATGCTGTTTTCATCATTTCACCAATTGTTAAAAGCAAAGACCATAAGAAGCTTGATGATGTCATTGATTTTTTTTTCATTTTGAACTTTGTAATTTTTACTTCTGTAATTAAGAACACTAGTTTTGCCTCCTTAGATTTTTTTTTATAGACTTAGATCCAATTTGCATCGATTTTCAGAAGTTTTGCTAATTAAGAGAATGGCCTGCTACATTTACAGGCAAGTGTAATGATTTACCAGAAGACCACAGCTGTTACCACATATATTGCATGCACAGAGTTTGTTCTTTGATTAAGTGAGACTGACTCAGTGGCATTCAGGGCAGAGTGAATGGAGATGAATGACAGGCATGACTCATAACCTCGTACTTGCACTCAGCTCAGAAGTGTGGCTACAGAGAAGAGGTGACTGTCAGAGAGGGGAGGGTAGCTGCCAACATTTCTGGGGAAATTCAAAATCCCACAGTGAGAGGCGTGTTTGGATAGCCTGACGCAATGCAATACTCCCACGGTGAGGGAAGGCTGCCTACACTGTGGAGCTGCTAACCAGACAGAGGGATTTGGTATTCTACAGGAACACGCACAAGCACAGCCTCCTCTATACTCCTTGCTACCAGGGAACAATATTTTGCTGAGCCCTTTCACAATGTGCTCACCCTTCCCAGAGTGAAGGTCCTGACGACGTACTCCGCAAGGGGCTCCATCTCTACACAAGTCACTTTGAAGTCCCCATAAACTTCTGTGTCGTCAGGCCAGTACTTGTAGCACTTGACCTAAATACAAAATGGGAATGCATTTTACATGAAAGGAAAATAAAAGCTTGAGGATACGTTACTGCATGTACTGCATTACACCACATTTATTTCCAAAACGACCATGCACTCATGTGGCTTGTCATGGCTAATGGCTGTTCTGTCAAGTTAAGCACCAGCTACTACGAGTTTCCACTGCTTTACAGAGCTGTACTTAAATGCCAGATTCATTTCTAAACGAGCGTTTATTTTTTTTTTTAGTGCTGAGCTATGGAATACATTTCCACTTACGTTAAACTGAGATGCATTTCATATCAGTAATCAAACTGTTGCAAGTAATCCCAGATACTTTCCATTACTCCCTGAGGGATGTGTTACTGCTAAACTGTAAATAATTTGCTGATTTCTAGCCACTGGTATAGAAGCACATTTGCTCACTAGTCCACTTACTCTGCTCATTTGAGTGACAATCTACAAGTCTATTCTGCTGAAATATGAATTTTGGATTCAGACAATTTTTCATTACTCATGAAAGCAACACAGCATCAGTCTTCTTCAGAAGTTAGCTTTGGTTTTACACAATACCATAACCGCAACAACGTCTGGACTCTCCCCCTTCCCCTCCTCTCAGGATGCAGGGCTGTCCTTCACAAGACTCTTCTACGTTCTGCAGATAGTGTGTCTTGTCAGCACGTTTTTCTTTAGGCTTGTAGCATTAAAAGAAAAACAAACCAAAAACTTACTCTCCCAACTTCCACTAAATTTGTGACCATCACAACGCAAGCTGATTGCTCCTGCCATATCATTCTCCAAAAGTCATACACAGTCTCATGAACTGGACCTGTAAGAAAAAATTCCAGGTAATACTCTGCAAAAAAGTAACAGCCAAAGCGAATGCTAAAAATAAAATCCAGTGCTCGTCAGAGCTGATACACATGAACACACTTGATCAAAGATGAAAGCTTCGTGAAACCACATCATCATGCCATCATGCCAGTTCCCAGACTATACTGTTATTTATAACCATGAATCTTCTCTGTTTACACTTGAGAGAAATTAATAGCAGGTGTTTCACGTAGCGAAATGCCAGAAGTTGCTTGAAAAACTACAAGGCCACAGCAATGTGTGACTACATCTATAGTTACACCTCTAGGTTTGTTTTACACTTGTTAGAGATAATGCGTTGAGTCTGAGTTTCTTCAGATGTTCACCGAGGAGATGCCTGCACCGGAGTGAAGTATCCGTCAGGAGGGCCGGTGGTACAGAGCCCGTGCACTTGCCACCTAGCTCCTGGCAAAGTGCGCAAGCACGAGTAGGGGCCGAGGCGTAAACTTCCCGCTGAAGGGGATTTAAACTAACTTTACTTTTCTGTGAAGTAAACGAGGAGCACGTGTTTAAGCTTTGCCTCCTGCTCTGCTGCAGAGACAAGACACATTCAGTTGAGCGACAGAAGCTTTTACCTTGTTACACTCATCTCAGAAACAGCTCCCTGACCATAGTCCAGCAGCAGTAGTATAAATATTACTGTATATAACACACATCTGAAGGCTCAACCATATTCCTTCATATGCTAGGTCGAAGGCTGCATACTAAAGCAGCAATAAATTTTTGTGCCGTTTAACCACTATTATGTGCAATGATTTACATAGTAAAACAGAAATAAAACACAAATGTGGACTTAACTGCCAGAGAGAGACCTGTTTAGACAGCACTTACACAAAAAATAAAAAAAAACATTGACAGAAATATGCGCATCCTGCTGTAAAACAAGCCTTAGTTTGTCTTTCCTGTGTGCAGCTACAATCAGCTGAGGGCCCAAATAACAGGGTATTTCCAGCCAGCTATCTGATTACATTCACAGATCAAATAATGACACATCTAAATCTAATTATTTTTACTTTAATTCATAGCCTCTGATATTTCAGTGCAATCTTAGACTAATCTATTTGTTTCTCCTTGTTGTGAGGAGTTTTATCAGAAATACAAAACGAATAATTTTAATAGAAATTCAATTTTTTCCTCTAACTCCCCTTTTTATTAGGAGGGTGTTATATGATGAAGACTTCCCTCATTTCTTCCTACAAAGCGGCTCTGCCCTTCCCTGGCCTTACTTTACTCAGATTTTCTGAGGTAACATTTAATTTATCATTACTACTTCACCGTCTGCATCCTGGACTAAAACCTAGAGAGTAAAATAATACATTGTAATATGGGAAGAAAAATGCCTCAAGGCAGGTTGAAACTGTTCTCTTCTCTGTCCACATGCCTCTCTTCTCTATTCATCTCCATAATTGGAAATCATGGTAGTAACTTCTGACTTTATCAGCTGAATTTATCACTGAAAGAGTTGTTCAACAGCTAATTACCATGATAAATTAATGCAATTTTTGCATTTATTCACACTCCACCTGAACATGCTATGTTAATTTACCATAACACAAGACGACAACTCACAATATTGGATATGCTTTATTTTCATCTACTTTCATTTTACCAAAACACTACTGGACACTACAGAGAACACTTGTTTGGTTCGATTAATGGTGGCAGATTCTTACCTTGGGTTGCAATGTAGTGACTTGGTCTCTGATATCCCTAGAACAGCAATGTAAGTTGGTTTGAGTACCATATCACTAACACAGAGCGGTAAATAAAAGCACAAGGGTACTACAGAATTCTTATCTCTAAACAACATTTTCAGAACAAACCAATATTCAAGAGCAGCATGAAGCTCAACACCTAAAAAAACGGTTAATACTGAAAAGGTTTGAATGACAACAGATAAAATGGAAATACGAACATCTGACTTGAACAGACATTGTAGCGTACCAGGAAGGAGTATTCTAGACGGGTCCCTTGGGCCTAAAAATTAGTCCTCTATTGACATTATCACCCCAGCTGAATACATCGGGGTGTTTATTTAAAATTTATTGAAAATTGTCTTTGCCACCAATTAAATCACTAATTGATCTGTGCTCCCAACTTATCCAATATGAAAAAATACACACTTTTTGTCTTATCCTAAACAGAGAATTATTGTAAGGCACAAAGAGTTATGTACCCGAGCCATAACTAGCGGGGACAGAGCTGGACAGTGTGGTGCGTGCACGGAATCAAGGTCCTACTGCAATGCAATCTCTGCAAAATATTCTGCACTACTGCACAAAGTGTGCACCAATTATACTGAACATGATACACACAAGTATATATACATACATCTATATATATATATATAGAGAGAGAGATAACTCTACATGAGTAAGCCTTTCCGCTTAGCTGGGTCTATGCCAATGCTAGTGGTACTGTACAGCATTAATTGTCTGTATACAAACTACAAGACAAAGAGCTGCTGCTCTTGAGGAAATAATTCAGAATATATTTTGACCAGTGCCAGCAACATTAGCTACAAGGAGGAAGGAAACTTCAGTATTCCTGGTGAGAAGATAATACAGAATTTCACAATGTGCAAATGTTAAAGAAATAACTCCAACTATTTTCTAGGTTACAGCTTTATTAGGCCACTTGATTCAAGTATTGCATTACAGGGGAGTGCGAGCCCTTGGGCTCCTGGTATTCACAAGATGCTACTGAAGTGAAGGATTTCAGTGTACCCAAGGAGTCTATATCCTTTTGCACGGACTGCTTCATTATCCTGTCTAGAGTGAAGCACCTTCCTCTAGGGCTTATGAAAAAACTTCCGAGTATCTTACTCCTGGCTTTGCAAGAGACCAAGATTGCATGAAATGACTAAAAAATTTCTCCTGGAGTCCTTACTACGAAGCCCCAGCTTCAAATAATGAAAGTGGAACCTGTGCTACACTGTTTTACGCTCAGTAATGCTTTCCAGAAGAAGGTAAAAGTGTCACTTTAAAATTGAGAAGTGCCAGTTGTAACTTGTAGCTTTCCTGTCTGGTTATAATGAGATTCAATTTACTCCTAAATAAGAGAAACAACATCCTCAAGGAGCTGGAATTATTACAAATCTGGGAGAAGTTTTCTTGTTTAAGACCCCAGGCAAAATATCACAGGCCTAACGCTTCACAGAGATTGCCACGTTAAAAAATCAAAATAAAAAGACAGCAATATATCTGGAGCTAAATCTTTATAACCTGGAAAGTCAAGAGGGTCTTATATAATTTATCAACTAACAGTGGGCAGGAAAAACTAGTAAGATCCAATTATAAAGAAAAGTAACCAAAGCCATGTGTTTTAAAACCACTTGTACTAGCTATTCCAGTATCTTCTGAAACACTTTAGAATCACTTTGATTACAACAATTTGTTTATTCCTAAGACATTAAGGAGATAAAAGTTGTATTTTGTTAATCAAAACACCTAGCAGAATTTATTCAAATTTCCTGTTTGGATTTTTTTTTTTTTAAATTTAGAATTTAATTTGTATTTTAACTGAAGTATGGAATTTCAAACTTCAAGAGTTTTCTGCAGAAGTGAGGAAATTTCTAATATGTTAAAATGTGTTTTATATATATATATATATATGTTTGTGTGTATACTCCATAATACCTAAATTAGCACCTTAAGACAAATGTCAGCTAAATATTGTTTATCTAAATAATTGTTAAAAACAGCCCCCCCAAGGCCATCACCACCCCCTTTTTCCCAAACATATATTACAGCTACTTCACAGGTACATTTGACTACAGTACAGCAATACTATCTAGCTTCTCACATATAAATGGGAAGGGGAAAAGACAAGCTAGTGACCAAAATCATCATCATAAAAAAAAAAAAGTGAACAGCAAATTCTCTTTAACAGACGGGTTCACCTGAGTTATCTAACAATATCTAATACTGCTCAGAGCTATGTTAAAAAGCTAAAATATTTTTTCAAAACAGGTACAAAAAATATTCACACAAAAGGAAAGTTTTTAAAGGAACGGATGACAGAAATTAGATGAGGCATGCATAGTTATTGAGTGATAAATATAGAAGAGGAAAGTAATTAATAACAATATCTATATTAAATATTTACAATAGGATGCTGTTATTCACATATAGTGGTACTTACATCCCTGTACAGCCAAATCTACAGCCCAAACCAAAGTCAGATGTGAAAGAAAGCACAACAATGTCAGTGAGTACTAGGACGCAGAACAAGGAAAGTGTACATTTTGTTCTTAATAAAAGAAAGCTTTCAATAAATTTGTAGGCATAACATGCAATAGTTTCACATAGAGAAGCTGGCAAATGGAGAGGGAGAAAGCTGTGCAATCCACTCACATCTATGTAGTTGGCATTAATGTAATCTGAAGATGGATCATCTTCAACAGGTTGCAAAATCACCCTGGAGTGGTCATCTGTAAAAACCAAGTGGTTACAGTGCCTTTTTGAAGTGTGATTTTTAAGTAAGATATTATGGTAAGTCATCTAGAAAACCAAAATCAGCTGGCATAAGCACCTCACAATTTACAGTCCTTAAATAGTAGGTGTTTACACAGAATTACAAAGAACCATTTTGTCTGAGGTCTCCAATTACTTCAAAACCATTCACTGAACTTCATTAAGTGTAGCTTAAAGGTATCACACTGTTACACGTGGTTAAAAAGACACAAAGAAACCAAGTTACTTGCTCAAAGTCCCTTTCAACATCAGCTCCACTGATGGAAATCTAGAAAATCAAAAATCCTGATTACTTTTTCCTTGCTTCTAACCCCAGCCTGCTTAAGTTCATACTGAGACATTAAAAAAAAAAATCAGGAAGTCACAACATAAGGGTTAGCAATGCACTTGGGATTTGATGAAGAGGTCACTCTACCAGTTCAGGGTCTTCTCCGGTAGCTCCATTGCCGTGTGTTCAATTGCATTTGTAGAACAGTAACAAATTCTAAATTAACAGAATTAACATCCAAATGAGTGCTAGCTTCTCACTGTTACACGCTTGCCACAGCTTGCACAGTAGAGATGTGCATGTGAAATACAGCCTGAGTTACAAAAGGAAGAATGTTGAACTGTGAAGGACAAGAAAAAAAAAAAAGGCTGAAAAAGGCACTGTCCCCCTTCTCCGCTTGGGTATTAAGCAGCTGTGCCACTGGAGGCTTGTAAAGAAAGAGAGAACACGGCACGAGTAACACATGACTACGGCTACGGCTCAAACCAAGCACACCGATACTCACATGCTATAATGTTTCCATAGCGGTTCTTTGTTCTGTTTTGATCCTTCTTAGCGACATCCCAAGAAGCTGACTGCCCCTCAAAGAAACTCTATAAATAAAAATGTTCCGAAAGAAAACATTCTGACCATTAATTTATCTCCAAATATAACAGTTTAAAAGAACTGCCCTACCATTAAGTAAGCTCAGCTTTGCTCGTCTGCTCTGGACGCCCAGGCAGTACGCCCAGGCAGTACCATGGTACAGAAATATATCTAGAGAAGAAGGGGGGCTTCTCCCTCTTAATGCTGTGGGTCAATGGGCAAGCCACTGAGGGACTCCAGAGGGATTTCAAATCCTGGAATCGCTGGAAGGCTAAACTTGCTCAGACATCCTTGCTATGGAGAAACAACAGTAAGCTGAGAAAGCACAGGGAGACCGATCACTCTTCTTACAAGGCACCATAATAGATAGCCTTTTTACTACAGCATTACATTGCTTTCTTCCTATTGCTTAGTAAAGTGGTTTTTCTTCCTACAGAGCCATCAGGACGCCTCCTCTGCCATTGTTTATTGTTCGTGTCGTTTTTCCTCATATCCCTCCGTCTAGCCATTAGCAAAATTATTCTACATTTTTGAACGCTTAAGAGTTTGATCTCCTAGTAGTGATAGAAGCAGCTTTTATTCCTCCTCAGCTTTTTCTTCATTGCCTGTAGATACTTTACAGCTGTTGCAGGTCTATGCTACTCTTTCCTTCCAGATGTTCTCTTACCCTGATCTGGGTAAGTTACCTCCAGAAAGTACACAGTAGCCATGGAAACAAAACTTTAATGCACACTCAGAAGCCCAAGCCAGGGCAAAGATGTCCTGTACGGTAATAGAAGAAGTAGCAAGTAGGAAAACACCTGATTTGGCATCAGCGACCACCCTCCCCCCCGCAGTGGTTGACACTTGGTCTTAGTCCTGAAGTTAGGCAGAGCATAACGAAGCGTATTTAAGTAAAAGAGAGGAAAAGAGAATATTCTTTTAAAAACCACACATTTATTTATTCCAGATCTTATGTTACAGTAGAGACAGCTGCAGAAAGGAGAGAAGGTTGAAAACTGGGTCAGAAGAGATGACTTACTCAGAGAAAACTCATTTTAAACCTAGCTGTATTGCAAGCGACCTTGGCAGTACCGTTCCCATCTTTACTGTGTGTCCTGCCTGATATTCTCATCCCTAAGAATCGCAACAGATTCAGAGATCAGAAGTGAAGTGACTCTGTGCTCACTTCCTACCTCCAGTGCTGGGAATTTTTTGCTTCCGTTTTAGCATTAAAGTTGTAAGTAGACATGCTCAGGCAGGTCTAATTAGAACTTCAAGACGTTACTAACCCTTGACACACCTTTACTGCTTCTCAGCTGGAGTTTAGTCCCAGTACTGCCCTACTGAGATGCTATAATAAATCATGAGAGTGCTTCCACTCAGTGCTTCTTGCAAAACCAGCCAGGTTAAATCTTTACTTTAACCTAATCCAGGAGATGTGTGCTGAAGATGGCTCAGAAAGCTCACATAACTAATTACAGCATTTCAACTAAAAAGCAGCAACAAAAGGGTGGCAATTTCTTACAATACGTCGATAAGATTCAGCAGGGCATGTCTTCTTATACCCTAAAAACACACAGAGGTTTTTTTTCAGGTACTTGTAAAGGCTCAAACCATTGGACTCCATTCACTATTTCACCTTTGGGTTACATATATAGGAATCTTTATGCCTGCTTATCTTTACCTGTTTTTCACTTAAACCCATGACATTTGGTTGCAGTCTTTTGCAATGCAATGCAAACTAAAGGCTGCCCCTTTCAAAGGGATTTTTCCTAGCAAAAACCCACCACTGATGATCTCACCTCGTATTCCTCTTTAAATCCATAGCTGTCAGAGGTCTTCATTAGGTTAATATGCTGCAGGAGATCAGCCACCCTGATGGCAGGGTGCAGCTGCCCAGTCTGGTATGGGGATTCTGTGCCTTCGCAGAGGTAACGAGGGACATCCAGGAGCCGGCTGGACTCTGCTGTTGCACTGTGATTTTCATCTGCATGCACAAGAAATCAATGCATTAGGTACTTGTGGAGCAGTAACACCTGCTGCTACACGTATCAACATCTACTTTCAACCTCTTCCTTCAAAAACATGTCTAATTTCTGAGAATGCAAAGCACTTACTACCCAGCACATAAATACTGTGAACTACATACAGGAATTTAACTGCAAACACATAGAAAAGTTTGCAATCCTTCATCCCGCAATAAAGATGTCTGAAGGGCATTTTATTTGAAGCTACAAAACTTTATGACATTAATGTACTTGGGAACTCCAGCCTCTATCACCCAAAGTAACTTTTTAAATGGCTAATATGTATCAACAGCAATACTACACCTTAAAAAATAAATTAGAATTTCTGACTCTGTAGTGGTATCAGCACATCATTTGTCTAAAGTACAACCAGTAAATTGAGATCCCAGTAAAAAAGAGAAGCAATTATGCTACCACATGAGAACACTACCTCCATTTGAGAAGATAAATCAGCACTTCAGAGTGGTCATTTTAACTCCGGTCTTTTAGTAGAGAAATGAAACTGTTGAGTGTGCTGATTTCAGCCACAGTCTTTGCTCTGTGCAAACAAAGAAGTCTCCTCTAACGCCTTACGTTACACCAATTCTCCTTCTCAAAACCAAATGTCAGAGCTGCATAAAGTGATCACATTTAGTCAATCCCTTCTAAATTTTTTTAAATTAGCAATCAGCAGTTCAAATTAATTTAGAGAGGAAGAAAAATTCTAATTGAAACCTCTTGGGAAAGTAGCTAACAAAATGAGAAGTGGGTGGCTGACCCCTCCTACACTTCTTTGAAATCGTTTTACCATTTTCCTTGCAAAAGATCCAGATTAGGAAGTAAAACGCTCTAGGAAAAAACAGAACACCACAAGGGCTGGATTTTCTGTAATTCCACCAAAATGCAAACCCCGTTAATGCCTTCTGAAATCAGATCTCCTAGTAAGAAATCCAATTCTTTGAACTGTCACACAAGTTTCTAATTTCAGTACATTTATGCCTCACTGAACTGCCTAATAATGTGAGTGACATGCAGCAGTCAGTTTTTATTCTAGTGTTACCCATATTAAATCATACACATTTCAAACCACCTCAGGATTTACAGTTCTCCCCATTCCTTGCAGTATACTTACCAGTAATAGGCACTTTAACCCATTGAAGCAGCAAAAAACAATGAGTGAACAGAACATAAGAAATTTATTTCAGGACTATATTAGAAAATTACTAAAAGAAAAATGACATTAAAAGTTGTTAAAGCTTCACAATAGGTAACAATGAAAGCCGTTTTAAAAATATAAGGGCTACATTATTATGCCATCAATGTAATGATAGGGACTTGAGAAAAGCAAAATTGTCATACTAACTTAGTGCTAATGTACACAGAATGAAGAGCAGCATTAATAATCTATACATGAAGAAAAAGAAAACTAGTATAGCTACAAAGTAATAAGAGCTTCATATAAAATAGGACGTTCTATAATTTAGAGCCCATAAAATTTTACTCATCTCTAAAAAAAAACCAGAAGAAAACTGGTTTTTGATGCTGGGCCAAGCAAGGGCTATCTGGGGATGGAGTAGGCTAAATGATCTAGTTCCAAAGGAACGACTTTACAGGTACTCAATCCCTTCTACATGATATGCCCAAAAACTTGTCTACTTCTCTTGCTATTTCAGTGCACACCATGAAAAATATTGCCTCTATTTCAACTAGCATTGCTTTGCTTATAGCAGGACACTATCATGCCCAAAACACCATTACCAGTAGATGGAAACGCAGACAGTAACTATTAAACTGTTCTTCAATTAATTTCTTGACCTTGCTGTTCACAGCTGCCCATATCTGTGTCTGCCACGATGCAGTGGCAACACATTGACCTTTGGAATATGCTCATAGCCTAAATGAGCTATTAGGAATAGCTTGACAAGTATCACCAGATAGTATCTCTGTAGCTTGTAGGTGTCTGAAATCAAGCTAAAAGATACAAGATGATCTTAGAAGAATTTCAGGAAAAGACTAATTTTCTCTAAGTCCATTGATCTAATTTCGGTAAGTGTTCAGAATTACTGAGTCCAACCCTTTGCTCTTTCAGGTAACGGTGCTATTTCACCACCCCTCATAAACTTGTTAAACCACCTGGTTAGGTTTCCTTGGGCCCAAAGTGGAAGGCTCTAGCATCTAACTGCTCTGATGGTTACAAATTTGCTAAGACACTACTGTAGTCAAGAGAATGGCATTTGTGACATTATCAAAAGGAAAGGGGCAGAATATGACTTGATAAATCCCACACACAGTGAGTATACTCAGCTTGACAAAGATCAAAGACTACTCACAAATAGTGATTTGCTGTCAGTCTCAGAGGACACTTTACATGAAGATCTGCAAAGGCTCCTCCTGGGCATACTTTCTATCAGTATTTTTACCTACAACTTGCGTAATGGGATAGAAAATACCCTGAGAGTATGGGCAGAGGGCACTGAGCAGTAAGGCACCACAAGCACTTCACAAGTACAGGTTCAGATTTCAAAGTTATCTTGATTATTTGCGAGACAATGCAAAAATCAACAAGGTGAATTAAACAGTGAATGCAACATACTGTTTGTAGGAAAGGGAAGTCAAATATACAACTACAAAATGGAGTAATGGAGTGGGTAATGATAACTGGGATTTTAGCAGGTAACTCAATGCAAGTCAGCAACACGAGCGCAATAAAAAGGACAAAATACAGTTCAGGCAGGAGGAACACTACAAGTAGGTCATGGGGGTACCTATTCCACTCAGCTCAGCATTGAGACTTCTTCTAAGAACTGTACCTGATTTGGGGCACCACAATTAAAAAATTCGACCTATGAGTTGGAAAGTGTTCAGAGGAAAAGAATGATAAAAAGTTTAGAAAACATCACCTGCAAGATGACAAGTGAAAGAACTAGAAGAGAGACAATTGAGGACATGTGAGCCTTTCAACGGCTAATGACTGTTTTGAAAGGACAGGAGTGTGTCAGTTCTCCATATTTTCTATGAGTCTCTCAAAAGGAAATGGTTCAATTTACAGCAATGAGGATGTAGTCTAGATTAGTACAGTTAGGAAAAACTAGGAGTGAGCAGTAATAACACTCAGTAGTAACACCCAGTTAGTAGTAAGTAATACTCAAATAGAAAATTGAGCTTTGGGTCCCAAATAGTACTAATATGGATCTGAATTTTATTTTTATTTAGGAGGAACAAGGCACTGGAGCATGCCACTGCAAGAGTAGAATACTCTTCACTACAAATTCTTAAAACACAACAGACAATCAGTTGCCAGAAAGCATCTGTATTATATGTGTAATGTCCCATCTCAAAACAGAGGAGGGATTAAATTGCCTCCAGGTCCCTTTAAGCTTTACTTCTAGGAAAATAATCTTCAACCTCAGTTTATATTCCTGTCCATTTCCTGATATTTGTCTTTCATCCTAAAATAACCTCAGCAACTGACTGAAACTCAATACTGCACATTGCGTTTATCAAATCAAGAACTCAGGTATAATTTATACTTTTATCTTCGTATTTAAAAAAAACCCCAACGTCTAAAACATGCATTCAGTGTTAGATGCGACATAGAAGTAAGCAGCCTGGCCACTCCCAACATCTGTTCTTTTTAAATTAAGTACAAAGTTGAAAAACTTACTAGTTAAGGTCAATTGAAATATGTAATTAATATAGGTATACACGAATATCTATAGAGAACCTACAAAATTGTGTTTGTTTTTGGATATTTCAGAATTTTTTCCCTTTTCTATTTTTCTTTTTATTCTTATTATTTACATAGCGAACTGAGCTCTGAGTGTCAAATAATGCTAATATGGATCTGAATTTTATTTTTTCGTCTCTCTTAAGAGAGTTCTAGTTTCACATGCCATTTCATTGGAACTCAGTTTGAATACTCTTGGGAGAGAAAAGTTTTAATATTTTCCATCTACCTATTTCCTCATTTATTCTTCAGCTAGCACTGAAGAGTAAGGACTTACTAGTAGACTAGGAATTACTTCTTAATGAGAACATAAAATAATTTTTATTCTAAAAGTCAGCTTAATTCTGAACTGATAAACTGAGTATAAAGTAATTTTCTGACAACAGCATAGCTATCTTTAACATAAAACAAGTTGTTTCAACGTTCAACCATGCAAGGAGACGAAACTCATGCAGGAATGGATAATGAAGGACTAGGTCCTCACCTAACACAGCTGTCGGCACAAGTGGATCATTGGGCACTGCAGGAAAACAAAGCTCATGAAGAAATACATAACCCTTAATTTGTGTATTTTTATGAATAAAAACAGTATACTTCAGAGTATAACCAAATGATAACTGAACCCCATTAATTTTGTTACAACAAAAAACCAGAATGAATACACAGTTCCAGAAAGCATCCTGAATAAAAGAGGAATGAAAGACAGTCATTTTGGACTTCAGAAATGTAACAAAAAAGGCAAAGAGATTCTTACTGAAATGACATAAAGAAGACATTACATGCAATTTAGTTTTTGAAAAGGCTCCTCCTTCATTATTATTCTTTTGCTTCACAGTAGAGGTTCACTTTCATAGACCCAACTCCTTTCCTTTTAAACCCATCCTCTCATGTAGTACTTGAATAGCTTATCTCAAAATAAAATGGCATTTCTTTAAAGTCTTCCAGGTAATTAAAAAAAAAAATTATAAGCATATTTACAGTTAATAGCTTTTTTTATGTGCAATACCAAAGATATAGCTCTTAATGAGTATAGGAAAATCACAGATACAGAGACACAGACGTTTGAACAGGATTAATAGAATTTTATCATTCGTTAGAACAACTAGAACCATGCAGAGACAAATGTGCTGTTTCAGACAGAAATGGCAGAATCCACAATTGGGTTTTGTTCCAATCTGGAACAAAAAATTAAAACATCACATCTCTGTGATAAAATTGAGCTCCAGTTCTCAAGCAATCTGCCCAAGAGTTTGCTGCCTAGCAGGAAACCCCAGAAGCCTGGAAGGTTCTTTGCCCCAGAACAGACGATGGCCAGTAGAATTGAATCCTCCAATACCTAGGATGCTGGAAAACAGTGATGCCAAACTTTGCCAACCAACCAGGACAGCTGTGGTGGCTGGGGCTCATGGACTCTTGGCTTCACATCAGTCCATCTGGAAGGCTGCTCATGTGCCTGGCAGCCCCAGCTCACTAATAGCCATGTAGGTTCCTGATGGATACTTTGCCTGGGATCCACAACTTAGTCCAAATCAAACTGTGTTTGCAAACCTGCCTCCACAAATTTCAATGCCTGTAAGACATCAAACTTCGGAGAATTTTCAAACAGTTCCAGCCAAAACTGCATAAAACCTCACAGGCTGATGCTAAACTCCCATTATAATTTGTTATGAGACACTTAAAAAGTTAGCACTCTGCAGTTTGGTAAGCTTCAATAAACTGAGCAATAAACCCTCCTCCAAAATCCATTTCCCTTGTAAGAGTCAGGAAAGAACTTAACAGCCTTCAGGGATAGCATGGTAAGCAGTATGGGAGGCAGGAGAAAGGAGATGAAGTGCCATTCCCAAAAGACGGCAATTCAGAAGCAGCTCACACTGCTCAAATGTGTTTAAAGCCAAGCCACAAGTCCATGTGGCTGTGAGAATGTCAGGTTTCTGCCAGCGGAGTTGTGCCCCTTCAGTAACTTATACACTAGTTTTGAGATATTCAGAGTCTGCCAGTGGAGTATCTTGCTTTCGTGCAAGGCACAGTGCAGATGCTGGGAGGCCAGCGTGCTGGACAGTGGTAGCTATAACCCAGACACTTAACAGTCAGAAACCCAAGCTGCCAAACTTAGTCAAAACGAGACAGTTGGCAAGTCTACAAAAAAGGAATACAAATACCGAGCAAATTTGCAGATATATTAACAAGCTTGTTCCTAAACTTCACAATCAGCAATGAAAATTGTCAGCGTTTCCTTCTGTTATAACATACTCACTGCCAAAGGAAAGAAATTAATTTGGACCTCATAGTATTATTCATTACAGACAAGGTGTTATGCAGTAATATTTAACATGATGGTATTAAATATCCTCATGAGGGAAAACTGAGTTTCTTATTTTAATTGATGTATTCTAGAAATGTAGTATTTCCCCTAGAACAAGTATCAATGCATACTGAAAGTACACGTAAATATTAAAAAAATTAGACACATACCAATAAGGGTAACATACAAACGTCCCTATTCAACCTTCAGGTTTGCCAGTGTTCCTAGAAAACCTGGAGCCTACAACAATTTTCCTTAAAAAGCAGAATTGTTTTCTGTGTTTCTATATTCACCTATGCTCCAGATTACCTACCGCTGTCGTACTTACATCTGGGGCTGAAGTTATGGGAGTCCATAAACGTGATTGAAAGGGGATCCTCTGCATGCAGGGTGCTCTGGTCAGCGTAACTCCTATCCATCGCGTTCACCATGTGTGTCATCTCCTGGCGAGTGGTCCCCATGGCATCCTTGCGCTTCTTTGCAAGTTTGCTGCCCAGCCAAAAAAAAAAACCCAAACCACCTTAATATTTGATGAACATTGAGGTCTACAGTAATAATTATCTATAGTCCTGTGTGACTGAAAAGTTTGGCTGATTTTCCTGTGTACACCTTTTCCAGAGAGAAATTGATAAAATTATGCACTCTGCTATGAAAGAGGCGTGTTCGTGTGTTTTCTGTACACACAAATGCTGTAATGGAAGTATACTTCTGTACCCTGGTAATTTTTTTTTTTCCTGCAGAGTAATTACACTAATATAAACAAATTAGAGAATATAATTACATTTTAACTGAAATGATAAATAAGAAGCATCTGTGCATGCAGTTTTATCAACCATCTCCATTTAAATCTGTGTTTTGATTTTATAAATGGATAATTCATTCCCCTTGCTTGCCTTGTTAGGAAGAAATAATTTAACCTTCTAAATTACTTTATTAGTCAAAACCCCTATGAAATAACAAAAGAAACATAATTATTTGATATGGATTCATATTACTATTTATGTTAAAAGTTGTTCCTCCCATTCAGTACACGACACAACACGATACCACGCTTTGTTCCTGACTATATATAAAGTTTTAAAGAACTATAATTCTTTAAAAAACAAACACCCCCACCTCCCTGCCCTGCATCCTTTATGGAATTAGGCAACATCTTAACTTTTGACCTTAACAGTCTTATACTCTGAACATATCACAGTTAAACTCTCAGCAACCTAATTTGTACAACTAACCCCCCAAATTAACAGCCCATGTCGTTAAAATGCACACTTCAGAAATACCTCTCAGTGCTTTCCTTTCAATGAAGAACTGTAAGTGATTTTCGCTGTCTCCAGAGGTCAGATGGAAGCAGACAATGTATTTTAATTATTACTTAAAGCCTACTACTCTTAAAGCATACATCTCAAGTAGTAGGAAATATACGGAGCAGCATGAAGTGCACCTTGGGTCTGCAGGAACCTGTGACATACATTTGACTGTTTGCAAATCTCAGACTTTTCTCCTTGTTTTCATCTAAAGCCACGACTGCATCATAATAGGTAGTCAACTTGCTTATTTGGATAAATTTGATACCACATGGGAGAGACAGACTCACCACTGAAAAAACTGTATTCTTGAAAATGTGTGTTTAAAACACAGCTTAGCTTCACAAGGTTTTTCTACATAAAATATCATCAAATATCCTGTTAACTGTTTAGACAGTGTTTATCTTATATTTCTCAGACTAAAAGGACTGCTTGCTCTTCTTCTATTCTCCGATAACTTTTAATATTCTGTGCCACACTCTAACAGTAGACAAAAAGAATATTACTGTAAATTATCCATCCATTTACTTCTTAAGTCCTGGGAACAAGTGCCAGAAAGGACCTGCACCACTCTCTCCGGTAGGAAGCACTTAATGTTTTTGCATATTTAAGAAAATGTTAGAGGATTGTTTCTTAAGTTAATAGTCTTGGCTCACAATAAGAGGCCACAATGCAGGATATAGATGGACAAAGAACTCCTGAGAATAACAAAGATTCTTTCACCCATCAGACTCATCTCCTTATTCTGTGTGGTCGTCGTCCCCCCCTGCTCCTTTTCTTTTGCCGGTTTACAAACGGACTAGTTGGAAAATTGCTACTCACACAGCCTTGCGGTGTACATGACGGTTCTGTGTGTATCAGCTGTTCAGTGAAAACTAAAAAACCAGTGACAGTTGGACATCCCCCCCAAAATGCTTTACTTTATACATTTACTCCACAAATTCCTATTTACTTATGAAAAGCTGGTTTAAATGATACTTTAGTTGAACAAATGAATACCATCAGAACTTCCAGAAGTGAAACTGCTTGAGCTTTATAAACTGGTTTCCAATATGATCAAAGCTTACACAAAACTGGCATTTCTAGTTCAGACTGCTTTTTAAAGTTTCAAAGCCTTTCAGATAGTGTCTATACACTGAAGATCGCCTTTTTCTAACGCCACCTCAGAAATGGAACAAAAAGGCTATTACGTCTCATCTCTTGGCTATATTAAGCCCTTCTTTGAAGCATCACTTTGTAACAAAACTCACTAGCTACGCTAAATAAATCAACAGCTATTAAGGCTTTCAAGTTATTAGCTTATTACAGTAGCTACTTTCTAATTCTTAGGCTCTGCTTCGACTCCTAAAAAGGCCTATTGTGTTGTAGCACCGTAACCCAGAGCTGCTGGGAAATGGGAGGACAGCTTTATTGTTCAACAGCTCCTGGCTCCCTCGGGGTTTGACTTCTTTTTCCTTTCCCTTTTTGCCTTCCCTCACTCAGCTAAAGGCACATGCAATCTATGCTTCAGAAGAGTTAAGCAAATCGTTAGGTTAAAGTACTTGAGGCTGACAGAAAGTGTAAATGATTGTTACTATCTGCTAAAGGATCTGGTCGGGTGAACCTGCGCAGGTGGGTGTTTCAGTGGGAGCTGGAGGGGGAAAGTGCTCCATCATAGGATGAAACTGTGCGGTTAATTACGTCGAGCTGAAGCAATTGTTATTTAACATGGAAATGAAATGATCATTTGTCACAATAAACCGGAGAATGGCAGTTAGCTAAGCCAGCTTAGCTTTTTTTTCATTTTTAAGTTTGTTTAAAGAAGTCAACTAATCTGCTTAAAAATGTGGAAGAGCATCGTTATCAGTTCATCAAAGCACTTGAGTGCGTTCTTAGATCCCCTCCGAAGTCAAGGCCTTTATGCATTTATTTAAAATTAAGAATGTGTGTAACTGCTTTGCTCGGTCACAGACAAAGCTGCTGCAGCCCTCACAAAAACTCACTTGGTCAACATGTCTAGAAGAAGTCAATTTTGCTTCAGTGAAGCAAACCTTTATGCAAACCAGTGTCATAAAGTAAAATCCACACTTTAAAATGTGTATGCAAAGCATCTCACAAGCAACAGATGCAGACCACTTCTCCAAAAATATTTCTGTAAAAACCCCCGAAGGTTGGCACCACAGCGGCAGATGTGTTGCTCTGCCATTGGTAGGGCACGGACACTCTGCGTAGGAAAAGTGGTGCACAGGATCCGTCCTGAACGGATACGCTAAGAAAGAACAATTTGTGATTTACAAGCACAGTTCTCTAGCTAGGAAACGGGGAAAGAGGCTTTTCCCTTAGTGTGATGTGTCGCTGTGAATCATAATGCAAATTAAATTATGATTACAATAAACCAAAATGATAGTTATGGGAAAAACTGTAGCAAAAAGCAAAAGTCTCAATACACAGTTAGAAATACAATATCCCTTTAAAAAAAAACAGGGTAAGAACAACAAGCACATGATACAAGCAATTTTTCAAGCCCGAGAATACAGAAAGAATACAATAAAACTTTAGAAGAATTATAAGGACTGTTTTTCTTTTTTAAAAAGGGATACTGCATCTTTAAAACATGTAAAATAGTAAGTCACCCGTATTCTACTTACAGATAGTAGGAGTAAGAATAGTAGCTCCTCCTGGCAAGCAAATCACAGACAGTGGAAAAAGAGAAGCAATGGTGAATGAAAAGCGTGACTCTGTCACATTCAATAAAGCAGAGAAATGTGCGATTAAAAAAAAATTGAAAAATTCATGTTTCTTTGGTTAGCATTTCAACTTGCTCATGCAGAAACTAGCCTTACTTTGCCATGCAATTAAAAAAAATACACTAGCATATAAAAATGATTTGGTTTTTAGAAAGACCACTTGAGAAAATTACATGCTGAGTTTTCATTTATTGCCAAAAAATTTGAAAATTAAATGAGTTGTGTATTTTCAACATGCAGTTCAGCATAATATAATGATTACCACCTAGATGTAATGACAAATGAACATCTGTGTACAAATCTCGTGCAGTAAATATGCTTTTTACTTTTCAGTTACAAAAACTAAAGATTGCACTAATAAATACATTTAATCAGATAACAAATTTCATGTCATTCATTTTAACATCTTTATCGGTACACAGGTGTATACATACATGTTTGTATGCGTACTATATGTAGCTATATGAGTACACACATTTTAAAGAACACATGTTTACAACAGATATGTGTGTAGTGACATATATACCACACATTTCTTGAATGCAAACATACGTTTTCTATTTTAAAATCTTTACAATTGGAAATGCTGATGTAGTCATGCTAAGCGTTAAAAATATGGAAGGTAAACAAATGGAAGGAAATGAAGGACATTTGGAAATAGTCCAACAATGACTTAGAAAACAAAAATGGCATTGCTTGTTAAAGATGCAGTATCCCTTTTCTTAGCTGGTTTGATTACTCCAGTAAAACTCTGTAAGAGCTGTTAAGAGCTTCATTCGGGAAAACTTCAAACCAATTTGTACAAAATGATCAGGCAAAGCCTAAAACATCTCAAGCTCATGAACAAAACTGCTTAGTACTCTGTTTTTCAATAAAATGTAATGCTGCATTTAATCAGATTGAGATAGTGGTGACTGTGCATATGACTAAATAAACCAATGAAAATGCAGAAACCATTTTTTAATTGACTTTTCCGTGTAATAAACTGTGGTCAATTCAGGTACCAAAAGGGATACTACATAATGGATCACTGAATATGTACACTACAGAAGATGATTCAAAAGGATCTGTTTGCAGACCCGCCATGACTCAGTGAAGTGTGTTTATGTACGTGTGAATGTGTCAGCGTTTTTACAGCCGTTCCTGGCTTCGTTATGTGAATTGCCCTGATTCACCAGATGGACTGAATTAACTCAGGTATACAGAGGTTTTCTATGCTTTTTGTGAGAGACCTTGACTGAAGCTGGTATTAAAAAAATAACCTGCCCACTTTCCCTAAGGAGGGGGAATGACACACCTATAGCATACGCGATAGACAACCAATTAAACTACCATGATGAAAAATTGTCAAACATTAAAGGTTCATTAAACAGGTTAATTTCTCATCTATTTTGAAAACAAAATAGTACAGGAGTTTAGAAACGATATGTGCTTTAGAATGATGACCAAGTATCATTCCTAAGAGGGTACTGCCTTCACAGGTTCAGAGAAGGGAAGGGGGGGAAAAGGGGAAATTTTAAAATATCATTCCACAGACATAATTAACTTACTTTCATCAAACAGTTCAACAGTGAAAGTAATACAGTAAGAGTCTAAAAGGACTCTGAATGCAAGAGGTAAAAAGGATAGGAAAAATGAACACATTGAATTTTAAGCTTTTTTTGGTTAGCTGCAAAACTAGTCAATCACATCTGGAAGTGACTGACATTATACAGTGGTAAACAGTCTCTCTCACACACACACATGCACACACACAGAGTCTTCCATTAAATATAAGGGGACCACTGCAACTCGCACTGAGAAGGTGATACTCCCAAGCATATACCTTGCAATAAAGCTATAAAATAGAAATTTCTTCCTGAAAGCTGAGAACAACCTTTTTTTTTTTCATTTTCAAAAGTTGTGTAAATAAAGAAAATTGGCTGACTGTATGTCTTTTTTTTGCATATGATGAGTTGGACCTTTTGCATATGTGTTAATTCTCAACCACAGAGGTAAACGACAGAGAAAAGTAAAAGCACTTTTTGGGAAAAATCACATATGTAGCTAACTAACACAGAACACTATAAGCATACCTAATGTTTCTAATGCAGACGTTTCTTCTCCAAGTTATATATCTCCAGGGATAATTGTAAAGAGGCAATAAATTAAAAAAATCTAATGCAAACCAGTGATTATAACATAGAGAATAATCTTAGGTACAATTTTATTTTTTTTCCTTAATCTTTAAAAATAATAGTAAGCTGTATTTCAGAGGAACATTCACAACATTTACAAATACACTTTTCATTAAGACTTCTGCGAAAGGCAAGGGAACGCAATACACACACCACTGGAAGACGACGGTCTCGTTCTACCCAAGAGAAATTAGCTTGTGCCCTGCGAAAGGGACCCGCCAGGGAGGGGGTCCACAGAAAGAGAGGATTCGGTTTCGATGCTATAACTACGAATTTATAGAGCCATATTATGAACTTTTATGCCAGGTTAAAAGAGTTGCAACCACTGGCAAGTCGAGACTTTTAAAAATTGACCGAGCAACAGGGTAGCACAATTTACTATAGGTAGGAGCGTTTGGATGCGGAGTTAGCATTGTACAGCGCCAGAAGATGGCGATATTGTTCACTGTCTTAGAAAGCACGAAAAAATTAAAATTCATTTAAATTATTACACTTCTAAACAATTTCATGCACTAAGGACTCGCTAGATAATTTTACAGTGATGTGGTATGACTTCTAAGAAAAAACTCCAGGTTTATAAGAGCATAAATAGAAGTATAAAATTACATTATTTTGCAAGTAGGATAACATACAGATACAAGTAACTCATTAGAGCTGCATATAGAAAATCAAATTCATTAGGTGATTACAACATGAAAAGTGCAGTAAGTTACTTTTTTTTTCCCTTAAAAAAAAAAAAAAGGCTCCATGAATTTCAATTTCACCCATTTTAATAGTCTGTACATTAACTGCAACTTAAAACTACTTGGAAATAAGTAAGTATGAGAAAATGTACAGCTGTTGAATCCCACATATAAAGTAATTGTCTCTTTAAATCCATCGTAACAATCACAGCGAAAACATGAGGAAACACAAAACTGATCCAAAAGCTGATGTGAGCTACTGGTCCTGAAACTTTACTTTCTTTTCTTCCTGACCTGTAAAAACTACCCATTTAGTTATTGTTGTTGAAATAGAAGAAAGAAAAAAAAAAAGAGGGATCAGCACAGATAATTTCCTTACCTTTTTTTGACAATCAATATGACAACAAGGAGAAGCAGGATGAATACCAGAATTCCAGCACTTATTCCTGCTATTTTCACCACTCGATCTGTTTGTTTAGCTGGATCTGGAATCACCTCAGGTTCTTCTGTTGCTGCTGCTAAACGAATCAAAAAAGAAGTTGCTTAAACGTGTAAGCGCTAGAGACGTGAAAATCATCATTGGTGATCATTTCGAAACATCTATGTGTGTTAATACAGTAGCCCAAAATATAGATCCGCACATATGTAAATAGATACTTAGATACACTATAAGTTTCAATCTATATGCCGTACACATTTGCAACATCAAGTATATGACTATATATGGGTGTACACACACCCATACACATATGTACATACATATATGTGATTTCACATGTACAGAGGAAATGCATATGTATCTGGATTTTCAAATGAGTTACGGCAGTACAAAGCAGAAGTATGTTTTTAAAGTGACAATCTATCAACTAAATCACCATTACTTCTTTGCAGTTATTTTTTCAGACATTAAATATGGAATATTTAACATGGACTAGTGAGATCACACAACTCACAAACAGCAAATGAAACTCTCTTTTCCAAGCCGCAGCCGGCACCCTAAACTCTAGTCCTTCTCTCCTTCCCCCAGTTTCAGTCCACCTTTGTATATTAATTCACTTCACAGCACCTGGCCCGAGATCTGCCTTCTACTGGGAATTTTAGCCAAGTCTAAAGTGAGCAGTAGTTTTTTTTCCATTTATAGGCCCTGAAAAAAAAAAAAAATTTGCTGTTCTACGCACAGATGAAACCACTCCGTAATACAGCTGAGTGGGATGAGGCCACAGGTTACAGCAGAGAGGAAAAACAGAATATATATGGATATATATGGCAGCCATTCAGTCTGCACCTCTTCGCATCACAGCCTGGTGTACAAAGGATCAGAAACATGGGGTTTTTCAGCCTGGCAAAAAATATTAAAAAAATATAAATAGGTTTCAGCCAGGGGTAAAATCCCATGAGGTGTCTGCTTGTAAAATAGGAAACGGCTCTTCAGTTCTCCAGTTCGTACTTTCTAAGCCTGTGGCTTAGCACTTTGCCCCTCCCCTGCTCACAGGCATGGACGGGTACGTGTGCTTGCTTTCTCTCTCTCTGACCCTTCCTCTCCCTCTCCACCCCGCGTGCAGCCGATGCCACCTAACCTCTCCCTCCTCACAGCAGCTGCACGTGGAGTAGTTATAAGCTGTTGGTATCATCATGCCTATGTCATTACACAGAAAATGTCCTTTACTCTGAAACTGGGATGCTTCTCAACTGACCACCAAAAGAAGCAGAACGAAAAACGAGAGACTTACCGCTCCCCTGAAAATCTGTTCCACGGGCCTTTCAGAAAGCCAGTGCAGTCAGCACCAGGTACAATTGGTATCTAATACTTTCTGGTTTTAACCACATTACCCAGACCATTTCTCTTGGGGTTCCATGTGCAGGAACCCATATTATCTTTCGAGGGAAGGATCACGCTGTTGTTAAAAATCACCCTTTATTACTTGATTCTGTACCCTCTCTCAGCAGTATCTGAGATACTTACTAACAACTTACCCTCAGAACAACCTTCTGAGTTAGGAATGTGCTCTTTTCCAGACACCCGTGAGAGAGCTAGGCAGACAGTGAGAGATCTGGCAGTGCTTTAATCATAAAATTTAATCATCATCATAAGACTTCATCACCATAATAATTTCTCTCCCCTAAAGCTTGAACTCTACCTGCTGAGAAATACTAAGTGCTTCCTCCTTTGTGTAAGTACGTGCCTGCATGCACACTTGCATACACAACCTGCATGGATTAAATACTATGTATATTGTTTGTATTATGTGTGTTGTTGAGGTGTCTAGGGGTACGAGTCAGGATCGGGTAAGTGGTGTGTGTATGTGTAGCTGCATACACACAACACATATTCACACACAAGCTAGAATTAATGTCGGACACACATATGATGCTGTCTAAGAGAGGAAATGGGGGGGATGACTTCTGAGGTGGACCTGGAAGAAGGCGGCATTCGAGATTCTCAATCCCCTCCTGGCCTACTATTAGCTGGTCTGGATATGACAAACATGAATGAACATTTGATAAGCAGTAGAGCCAAAAGGCCAATCAGTAGAGTCAAAAGGCCAATCAAAGCTAAAAATAAATGGCTTTATATGCCAACAGGAAAAAAACCCTCATGTTTGCTGTTTGGGGTACCAAGAAACAGCAAGGACTTGGGAAGGGTAGAGAGAGGACCATGCAGGAGTGGAATAGTCGCTGTGTTTGCAATCAGCATGAGTACAACGTAAGCACAGCTGGGTAGCTCTGACCTAGCAAAGGTAAAAATTACACAAGCTGCAAAATTACTAAGGCTCGAACAAGAGATTTAGTTGTGTGGACAGGGATTTCAGGCCAGGTCTGAGCGATTTCAAAATACGAACCACAACGATTGGATGTGACCTGAAGATGCACTTCAAAAGTTGGAGGCTCAAAAATACATCCAAAAGTGCAGGCTTTGAGCCTTGATCAGGGTGGTATTTTCACAAGAGTATTAGTGAGAGATGAGAGAGTAGAGGGGGAAGAATGAGAGACCTGTCTCACACTTACCTGGAGAAAGATAGGACCCTTATTGCTTGATGGAGCAAGTGTAATATAATGACTTCTCAGAGTCATGTTTAAAATTATTGCTTGGCCACTCACAATTTCATTCAGAAAAGTTACCTTAGGGAAACAACTATACACCTCTTGGAAAATCTGAAGGAAAGGTTACTGAGGGAGTTTACTTATTCACCTAACTTTGGCACTGGTGTTTTAGTATACATTCTGTAAGAAATGATTGAGTTTGGATCATCAGTAACTGTTCAAAATGCAGTGCTCTGTCCAAGTTTTTAGAACAACAGTGGAAAGCCAGGAGGTTATCAACGACACGCCCATTTATTCTGGTTTCCTTATACTAAGGGGTTTGAAGTAAGAGACAGTAAGTCATTCCATGAACTTTAATGCTGCTTATGAGATAAAGCTGGCGCCCACTAGAAATGTACCACAGAGTCCTAAATTAGTGGAGAAAAATTATATTGAATAGTCATAGACTAAGCAAGTGTATAACCAGTGGTTGAGCCTACTATATCCACAGTTTTAAAATCTATGGGCAAAATGCTACATCTCTCCTCAGTATCAGCGGAGAAACTCCTTTTGACTTAAATGAAGCCAGGATTATTATATGCATGTTTCCAGCAACAGATAATATATGCATAATCTAGACTAAATGTTACATTTGGGGACTATATGAAAGCAATTACAGATATAAATCACACTGTAATCTATTATTTATGTGTATGTGCATTGTATGCAATAAAGTATATTATTTTGAGGACGCCAAGCCATTCAATGCAGCAACAGAATCATTTAATGAAACTTATGAATATGAAAGTATTTCATATTACTTGCATTTTAATTTGGATTTTTCAAAGTGTATTGTAATAAGCATGTGTGAGCTTATACCTACACAGCCAAAGGACAAAACCAGAGAAACCTTGTGCCTATGTGTTAAACTCCTGGTTGCTGATTGCACAAGGACTACAGCAGCAAGAGAAATTCTGCTTACTCTGAGAATTTGCTCGCTCTATCCTCTAGACTACAAGACTGTCAGGATTTTTCTTTCTCTGAAGTGGCTCTTTCTATAGGCTGAACTGCTGGTTTTGCCAAACAAAGCAACTCAACTAACGAAGGCTTCACCAAGGGCAAATCTTGCCTAACCAACCTAGTGGCTATCTACGATGGAGTAACTATCAGTGGACAAGGGAAGAGCTACTGATGTCATCTATCCGGACTTATGTAAGCCTTTGACATAGTCCCCCACAACATCCTTCTCTCTAAATTGGAGAGATACATGAGTTAAAAATTGAATTATTTTGATAATTGGAGTTAGCTACTGTGTATTTCTAAGCAAGGTAAAAATGATCTAAAATTATTTAAGTCATAGAAACACATGCTTTACTAATTCCTAACATTCCTTTTTAGCAATTTAGTCCTGCAATCCTTTCTTATATCTTGAATGGCAGACTGTATTAAAAGGTAGTTTATTCATTTATAAAAGAACCCTGCGTACTAACAGAATGATGATCATATGAAAATGGACTCTCCATTGGCTATTCATTCCTTTGGCCAGCCTTACTCTAATAGACCTTCAGTCGAGCGTTATTTTTTACAATATCCTTGCATATTACTACATTTTTCACAATTTGACCATGTAAGTCTAGGAAGAGATAATTCTGCTGTTTTCAATCAGTGCAAACTCATCTTGCATAAAATTTGCAAGAAGTATTTATGATCTGAAACAGTTAACTACATTTCCCGCCCCCCCCCCCGTAAGAATAGCTGCCTACACAGGAGATTTATTAGCTAGATTGGGAGGAGAACCCTGGATTTAGCAACTTATCCACTCGCCTTTCTTTTGAACTAATGAACAGTAACAGCAATCATATTCCACACTCCCATTCACGAAGTTCATAAAATAACTTGATCCAGTGATTCTGACTCTGGCTCTACACATTGCCAATAACAGTCACCATATAAAAAGTAGTTTTCCTTGTTTTCATAGATATTTAAGAACACTATTCAATCAGTTGACTTCTGTGATCAATAGCATGAAGTTCAACCGTGAACAGCACTAAATTAGACTAGGATTGCTAACTCTTGCAGGGACAATGAAATTCTAAACAGTTGGTGAGGTAGAGTCCATCTTATTCTCATAATTTCCTGATGCACTTAATTCCTCTAAATTCTGTAATCTCGTTTTTAATCAAATACACAAAAAATTCCAACACCCACTTCTAAAATTGAGTGTATGCATAATATTCATATTTAATTCTTAAAGTATACTGTGGTGTAAGGAATCCTGTCACAGTACTTACTACTTTCCTGTCTTCTCCTTCCATCTGTGGGTCAGAATTTACACACAGCTTTGCAAAATTATCAGAGAATTTATGAGAGACAGCACAAAATCTATTCACCTATACCTTCCTGAGGAGATGGTGTTGGAATCAAGATAACGATATTCTACCTGCTCATCCAAACAAAATTATTCAAGCAGAATATTCTGGTAGGATTTTGCAGGGCT